CACTGACACGGATATCCCTAAGTTAATTTTACAAGCTTTAATTCCTCATTTTAATCCCAAAAGTGATGACCTGAATCTTTTCCTCCCTTTATTTGAAAGGCAACTAACAATTTTGAACATACCTCAAGGGAAATGGGTAGTGTATCTCTTAGGTTCGTTACCTAATGACATTGCAAAACTGACTGCAAAGGAATCTGCTGGTGATGCACAAGATTATGAGAACATCAAACAAATTCTAAAAGTCCTGACAGTAGAAGGCAAGATTTTTACTGCAATTTCAGAAATTTCTTTGATGGCTGGATTTGTGAATTAAAAGTCAATATTTTTGAGAATATAAAAGATTTGATGATATTGGACCAAATTAAAAGATGGTCCCCTTCTGAGTACAGAGAACATTTTGTGGATCATTGGTCCAAGTGGACTGATCCGCTTCAACTGGCTGACAAGTTAGATTTATATGAAGGAGCTAAAAACATCAGAAGTAGAAGAGTCAGTAATAACACTATAAAATCATCTCAAGGTAGTGGTCCTAAAAATTATAAAAATAACCCTCAAATTGTTAAAAACTCAGCAACAAGGAATTCTGGTAGAGAAGATCGAGTAAATGTTAGTTGTTATGGTTGTGGAAAATCAGGTGTCATTAGGGATAAGTGTTCAAGAATCAGCCAACTTCAAAGCTATAAACTTACATACACTGTCTGTAGAGACACCTCACACAACTCTTTTAAGAGTAAAAATCAATGGATTTACGGGAATTATCTGTGCTGACACTGGCGCTACTCACATTACAGCGGGAGAAACATTATGTAATCTCTTGATAGAACAGGGATCGGAATTTAAGAAAACTACTATGAAGGTCACTCTTGTCGACAGTATTGAAAAGGACAGAGAGGTCCACGTGACCCAGATGGACATTGAAGGAAGGTGGACATTGAATTCACATTGAAGGAAGATCATTCTGCATAACTTTATTTGTGTTTCCCTCAGCAAAGGCTAACAGGATCTTAAAGCTGTTTTCGAAAGGCTTTTGCTCTTCAAACTGCAGTCAAACAGAAAGAAGTGCCACTTTGCTTCTTCTAGTGTGATATATTTTGGATTTTGTATCGCGCAAAAGGAATCGAAGTTGATCCAGAAAAAGTTTTCTCTATACAGAAAAGTACATTTCCCAAAAACGTCAAGGAACTCCAATCCTTCCTTCACTTGGTTTAGACAATATATACAAAACTTTGAGGAAATATCACAGCCTATTAGTGATTTGATGAAGAAGAAAGTCCAATGGGAATGGGGTTTCAACCAGCAAAAAGCATTTAACCCTTTGACGTGCCCCGAAACCACCAATTTTCGAATTTTTTTTCTCCTCTTCCTTCCGAAATTTTTTAGTGAAAATCAATAAATCAATTGATTACTGATCTTTTAACTCTAAATAACACAAAATGACTACAGAATCATACATGTTTTAGGTCTTAGTACTTCAAATCAGATGCCTTTTAAAATTTGTTTTCAATGAGACAAAATAACTTCCTTTTATTAATATAAACAACTTTAAATTTCAAAAGTTATTCATCACACATCATGATTTCTATCATACACGATAAAAAATAGCAATAATTAAACTGCATATATAAAAAAAACCCTCTATATGTATGGCATTTGCTTTGTGGTTTCAGGGTGCGACTACTGCCTGGAAACATTGTGACTCAGCCTCTAGAGCATTGTGACACAATGTTCTAGAGGCTCGGTGGTTGCGCCTTGAAACCACTGCTCTTCACAATGGCGTTTGCTTGCTTCTCAAATAGGAATGTTTACTTTTACCCGAATATAGATAAGGGGTTTTGAAATCACAGTTATTTTATTAATAAACAATACATGCACCTGCCCAGTAAAAAGGTCTTTCTTTTCCAGAGACTTTTTTCTGACCTCAACACAGTTGCTCCCCAAGCTAGTATAGTGATTTTATAAATTATTTCCTGTGGTTTAAATTAATGTAAATATACTTTGCTGTAATTAAAAATAGAAATCGCATAAAGTTTTATTTAAATTAAAAATATTTTCTGAATAGTTTGAGATGAAACACGAATAAAATAAGTATGAATGGGAAACGAATGATTCGTACCAAAGCCAAAAAGACCAAGCCCTCCCCCCATTAACATAAAAAAACCACAAATGTCATGTGCCAGATGAAAAGAAACTAAATAATGCTGGACATATACTGGTGAAATTTAGATCCAATCAGTGTACATTTTGTAGCACAACGAAGAAACATCATAGAAGAAGATACATGTGCGAAACATGCAATTTGGGTCTATGCATGTACCAAAAAGACAAAACATGCTTTGAACAGTGTCACAAAAAATATTTTTTCTTTGAAATTTAAAAAAAAAAAAAAAAAAAAAAAATTGAGTCTTTTTTTATCCTTATTTTACTGAGTTTTTTAATTCATGTAGCCAAACGTCCTTATTATGTAGGTACTTATACTTTCACTGCTAGAGAAAAATTACATAAATGCTACGATATCAGACAAAGGTTTAAATAAGCCTCTTCTTTAAAAAGAGCTTAGAACATAAAGGCATGTTCTGATGCTAACAAAATCAATTAAAGCTCACAGTGACATAATTAAACAAGAACAGTCAAATTCAAACTAATAATGTGGACTTGTGGTCAAAGATTATACAATTTAATTTTAAATTAATCTGGCTCAATAATTCTATCATATGAGGAAACAGAAATGGGGAATTAAAGTAAAGGTTGAAATCATAAACAATTGGGTACTTTACATAATAACAACTGCAGATATCTTTGAAGAATAATTTCCTTTATGTATTCAGTTTCTTCTTCAATGCGTTTCCTTTTCATTTTAGAATTTTTGGATTTAATTAAGGATTTCTGATATTCTAAAAAACACTAAATGCATTTAGAATGTACAGAAAAAGTGGCTAATTTTATTTTAGTACTATGAACATTTGGAAGCAATATGAAATATATATAGTAAAGGACGATTAGGCCTGATGTGGCAGAATTTCTAGAATTTAGTGACACGCCGAGCAACAAAATCTAGAAATGGTAAAACTTTTAGAGCAGGCATTGGAAGCAGAATTTAGAAGGGCACTAGGCAGCAGAATTTAGTATCCACAGAGATTGCATCAGGTGGGAAAATGCCTAGTGCCAGCTATGTGTATGATGCATTAAGAAATATTAGATGAATCTGTTAAATTGAAGTTTTCAATTTCTTTATTACTAAAAAAATCCCTTTCTATAATGCCTGCCCATGTGATAAGATCAGAAGCATTTTTGATATCTTCCATGCTTCTGTCTAGTGAAAAGTAAAGAAAATAAAGAGAAGACAAATATGTTAAGATTTTAGTATCAGAAGTAAAACATTCAAACATTATGTTTTTATTGTTCTTCCAGATGTTCTCCAAAAATTAAGAAATTCATTGCAAACTTTCTGTAAAATACAATCCATTACGTGTTGATACCATGGGGACATTTTTCATTTTGTCATATATTTTCTCGAATCTTCTAGAATTGTGGATCTATAAAATCTTGCCTTCAAATCCTTCTAAACTTTCCAAGCTGCAATGTCTAAAATTCCTAAAGAAAAATTATCCCTACCCATTCTGTAACAGCAAAAAAGCCCAGAAATATTTTTGGGAAAAAGGAGAGAGAAAGTATAAAATTAATCTTACATAGAAAAACTGATGCGGGCTGATTGGAAAATTTTGAATAAGACAATTACATGGGAAAAACTCTTACTATGAAAAAATTAAAAAACAAGACATTTTTAATTAAACATAGCTAATTTTTGCTTTTGCTAAGCTGTTTCGTAAATTGTGTGTTATTAGCATTATAATCTGGGGGCAGATTTAAAATTTATAAGTTGCCAAATGAAACTTTATAATATTACAGCGAAAAAAAAAATGTTTATTTTAATGTTATTTTTAAAATATAACTTCAATATATTACCATTAATAAAAAAGTCAATGTTACGATGTTTTAAAAAAATCGAAAAATTCAGATCGGGAATTAAAAAGTTTCTGTAGAAATCAAAATCTTAAAATCGCCAAAATGTTTGGAAAAGTCGCCAAATTTAGAACCGGTTTAAATAAAGAATTCACATCCCCAAAAGCGAAAAGTTGCTTAGAGAGTAGAAAAAAAATTTCAAAATGCTTATGTTTCACTTAGAAAGCTCTAGTACCTCCTCATCATTTATATTAGAAAATAGAAACAAATTATTAACTCATGAACCCATTCAAAAGATACAAAGATAGACAGCAGAATCGCCAAAAAATTCCTCAAAATGGCTAATTCACACTCAAAATGGCAGTCGTAAAAACAGCCGGAAATTTCAGAAGAAGATTAAATTAAGGGCCTTCTCTGCTTTGGGCCAAATTAAGGACTTTTAATGACCAAAAATCGATTCCAAAAAATCTAAGGACTTTTAAGGACTCTTAAGGACCATATGAACCCTGTGTAAAAATTCACCTACATATATAAATTTTACAGAATGCAATAGTATATTCTCTATTACTCTGATAAAAAAAAAAAAACACTGACAATATGATAAACAAAATACTTGCATCTCAATCACTTCACACTTCCATAATCAATAATAAAAGCAGAAAAACTGTATTTCTTCATTACAGTATCTTTACATGAAACATTTTCAGGAGGTTAACAGTACTCGTCTTTTATACATTATAAGTAATGGAAATAGCTAGTTCCAAGTTCTAAAATGAACTATCATTGGTTCTTTTTCTATGTACAACTAAAAACACACACAAAAAAAAATATCCTTGATAAACAGAAATGCAATTTTTTAAAGTATTCCTTGCATAGCATTACAATGAGAAAACTAAGTTTTCTAAGTTAAAGTAAGTTTATATATAATATACATATGCACAAAGCACCTTCAATATTTGAAGATCTTAACATTAGCCAGTAAAAAAAAAAAAAAAAAAAAAAAACAATAAAGTGTATTATGTTAATAAAAACATACTTACAAGAAGTGGGAGTAGTGGTAAAATATATATGGTTGCATCATGTGTAACTAGCAGCAGCCACAAGCCTGCTGAATCAAATGTTAGAGATTTAATTTGCTTTTCAGAATTATTAAACCAGCAGAGTTGGCGTACCACAGGTTTGCTGAAATTTGAACTTATGTACCGGAAAAGGAGATAACCTGAAAGAAATTCCTATGCTATTTAGAAATGTATTTTAACTGCAAAATATTTAAAAATCAAATGATAGGTGTGAAATGATTAAAAAATTATAACCAAATTAGAATTTTTGTAACTATTACAAAATTTATACAATTTTTAGTTCTTCCTGGTTACCCAAACTTCCCTGGAAAGTATTCCTCAGGTTATACACACTATGCTACACACTATGTCACCCAAATCTATTTATGTGGCTGCTCAGATATATGCACACACACCACATACAAAATGGGATTTCCACCATAAAATCTGAAGGTCATTTTTCTGATTAGTATTTATTTTTGATGCATTTGATTACCCTTTTTTCCCTCCTTATCACTTTAAGATCACATGGTTATATCACCAGAAATCGCAGTGTCGGACCCACTACATTCATCTAGTAATTTACAGTTGCAATTCATTTCTTGTAACAATAACTATCATCATGTTAAGTCCTTAACCACAAATATCCAAAAAAAAGGTTCTTGAGTAGCTTTCTTAAAAAGTTATAAAACTGTTCCAGTTGTTTGCTGGCATAGAAAAAAGGAAACAGTGCAAAGTGATCACCCAATAATGGCAGCTAAGTAATGAGCCAAAGGAAAATCTCTTCCAAGAAATAGCAAACGACCTTCAGGTTGTTTACCATTTCTTGAAGTAAACATTTCTTATGCTCAAGAATGTCTACGACAGAAAAAGAAAACACAACCAAAAAAAAAAAAAAAAGAAAGCTTCCACTTGAATAAAGTTTCCACCTGATGACAAGAAAGCTTCCACTTGAATAAAACAAGCAGTATGTTAGATATGTGGATATTCATCTCTGGTTACTGCTCCTTCAGAATTGTCAACATGAACTTGTCGCTTCTTTTCATTCTATACGAACTACAATGCTTAGGGTTTCACTACAAACATGAGGGAAAAATATGTGCCCTAGACAAAATCTCAAGAAAAAGAGAACAAACCTTTTAAGAAATTAAAAAATAACCAGAAATGGAATGATGTAGCATTTAGCAATGAAAATTGATTTTCTAAGGATGCACCAGAAAATGAAATGTGCTACTTGAAGGAAAAGGATAATTAAAGTGTTCCTGGTCAGAAAAAATCCAAAAATCGAGGAGGTGGTATTCTTGTCTAGGCAGGAATGACATATACGAGAAATATATTAACATACAGGTTTACAAGCTCTGTTACATGTGAGATGCATGGCAATTTCTTTTGGATACAGGCTTGCCTTGAATGAGGAATTCTTCTAAGACAAGATGGTTTGTTCTTCAACAGGATAATATGTACAATTCTCTCCCCCCCTTTTTTTAACAGACTGCTGTGTACATGGGGAGAATGCGGACGAGAAGATAAGTGCTTTATTATGGATGCCTTTTGAGTTTTTAATTTTGTTAATCAGTTGTTGTTTTCTGTAATTCTTAGCACACCTCTATTTTTAAAAATGGCTGTTGTCTTTCGCATCTTAGCTTGTCAAAAAATTAGTTACCAACAGCAAGAGACTTTTCAGGTCCGATAATCAGATAGTACCTGATTTTATTTAATTAAATAAATCAAGGAAATACACTCATATAACAAACAATAATCAGAATGTTAGTTAAATTACATAAATTGATTTAGAAATGGAAAATTTCAAATACCTTAGAGTTCCTTTCATAATTATAAATAACCTTTCCAAAAACAGAAGTTGCAATCAAACACTTAAAACATCAGTAGACACGATTTCAAAAGTACTTTTCTTCAAATTTAGTATATTAGAGAATATATTCAAATTTAGTACATTAAAGAATGCATCATCTGAGGTTTGAAGAATCAACGCATATCAGAACAGTTATAGGAAAATTCCAGTATTTCATTAGAAAAAGCTCATGATTAAGTTACAGCATTACATCTTGCTGAACATCATTCTGCTTTGTATTCAATGCCTTCCTCAGCACCAGTAGCTGCTGTTGAACAGTTTGAGAGCAAAAATGACAATAAGGAATAATTGGCAGTAGCTGCTCTTGTTTCAATGGTTCTCAATCTTTTGACTAACATGTACTATCTAAACAAAAATTGAAAAAAATTAGCACTACCACTACACTTTGTAATGATTATTTTTCAATTTAATAGTAAATATATATATATATATATGCCTGCCAGTTGCACAACCTATTGGCATTTTATATTAAATATGCACACATAACAAAATATTAAATTAAAAATTTGTTACCATTTAAATTATCAAAATTTAAGTTATAATACCTTAATTCCAAAATTTAGTGTCAAATTTGGGCCTGTTTAAGACAGATCAATTTCTTTATCTGGTCTCATTTTACTTAGTTTTAAGCTTAAATTAGGACGCACTTTTAATTTTGTTGTGTACTTATTTTTCAAATATAGCATGGAAGGAAATCCTTGTTTGAACAAGTAGGTTGTACAAAAGGGCAAGAAAAACTTAATAGCTTTGTAAAGACATTAGGTATTTTTGAAAAGCATGAGAAGTGAAAAATACGCAACATATTCGCCGGGAATCGAACCACGGACATCTTAATTGCGCGCTGAGTGTGCAGACCATCACACCACGAAGGCGTGCCAAGAAGGTGGGAGAAATACCTTATATACTCCCCCTTTTTAAAAGCAACTGGGGTTTTTAGGGGACCCAATCACCAAATCCTGAGTGAGGAGAATCATCATCCAACACCCTTTTAGTTCGGGCGCCACTGTACAGACATTAGGTATTTTTGGAAATCAGCAGAAGTGAAAAATATGCTGCTGCTTCGCAGGGAATCGAACTACGGACCTCTTAATTACACCCCGAGCGTGCAGACCACTACACTACGAAGACATGCCAAGAAGGTGGGAGAAATACCTTATAGCTGTATTTGAAATGCCTTTAAATTATTTTTTGTTATTTTTGTTAAGTGTGTTATTTTTTAAGTCTTCAGTTAGAGTTCGATGACAGGATATTTCTTATCAATTGATCTTTTTCTTCACGAGGTAAAATTTCAGATACATTTAATCAAAATGCATTTCTAACCCAATACTTTTTTCTTAATCCTCGGGAAAATACATGGTGAAATTATTTATCAATGAAAAGCAATGATTTTTAATATCGGATGCTAATTCTTTTATTTTCAAACTATTTTCAGTTAAAAAACTTTCTAAAAGTGGTAAAAAGCTTAAAATATTATTATCCAATTCTTTTATTATTAGCTCGAGATTTTTTATCATTGCATTTATTTCATCTCTAATAGTAAGCATATTAACACTTTGTCCTTGTAATCCTAAATTTAATTAATTTAACTTTCCAAAGATATCAGTTAAACATGTTAAATGCACCAACCATAATTCACTAAATAAACACTTCTGCGATTCAAATTTTGAATCATATAGGAAAATTTGAATTTCTGAAAGAAGTTCAAAAACATGTTTTAAAACTTTGCTTCTGGATATCCCCACCTTATTTTGGAATTCTAATTGAAAATAGAGCAATATGAGCCTGGAAATGGTGGCAACAAAGTGTAGACATACTAATAAATTGATCAACTCTAAAAGAATTAATGAAATACACTGCTCGACATTGAAAATGCAACACCAAAAAGGAGTGGTAAGAAATTTATGCAAATTTTAGAGTAGACGCACGTCACTGAGTTATGCTAATGATGCGAAATGCACAGCTCTCCGACACACGTGAAGTAAGATATAAGGGAAGGAACGGGCAGAATGGGCAATATTCGTGTTGTTAATTCCTGCCAGATGAATTATCGAAGAAAGTTGGTTTTTCTCCCGGAAGATACGTGTAATAGGAGAGAATGCCAGGCCTCCATCAGCGAAGGCACTTCCAGCAGATAGACGATTTTACGAGGGGTATGGTGATCAGACTGAGAAGGGCAGGTTGGTCCTTACATCAAATCGCAGCTGATGCCCACATGGATGCGAGCACAGTGCATCGGCTATAGCAAATATGGTTGTAACAAGGAAATGTGGGAAGGAGGGGTGCAGGTGCAGCCAAAGTGATGTCAAAACGCATGGATCAACGCATCCGCCAACAAGCTGTGGCGGTCCCGCAAGTCACTTGTACTGCGATTCTGCAGCACATGCAAGATACCCTGGATGTTCCCGTGTCGACCAGAACCATTTCCCGTCGATTAGTTGAACATGGCCTGCACTCACGGCGTCCGTTAAGAACACTGCCATTGACCCCACAGTATAGATTCCAATGTTCAGAATGTTGCAGGACTGGAGTGATGTGGATGACAGAATGGTGAAACGTCGTGTTCTCAGATGAGTCACACTTCCGTTTGTCCAATGACGGTCGCCACATACGTGCGTGCTGTCGACGTGAGGACAGATCTAATCTGGCCGTAACTGTGGAATGCCCCACAGCGCGACAACCAGGGTTGCCACTCAAACAGGAGAATGAAATTCCCTGACTTTCCCAGGTATGTTTCGAGAAAATTCCAGTCTATCCGCGTAATGTACATTGGCTGTGATAAGAGGTAAATTAATTATGGTATTACTTGTACTGTGTAGCAAATTCACTTAATTATTCAATAAATCCAAGAGGACATTTATTCTTAATTATTCTTGGTACACTTTGTTTGATAATTTTGTTTACTTTTCCGCTTAAAAACCCAAATAAAATTTCAGATATATACATTGGATAACAACTGTACATTTTATTTAATTATCTCATGATCATCCCCAGTTCAACAACACGAGGCTAATCCGGTTCTATAAATCACAACGCAATGCTAAAAGTTAGGTTAGATTTTAGGTAAATTTAATTTGTGTGAGGTTATTCTTAAAAGGCACCTTAACACTTGAAAACACAAATATTATTATAATAGAGTTGTTTTCTCCCCAAGATTGAGATTAGAATTGCCCAATCTTGGAATAAAATAAGGCTTTTTTTTTTTTTTTTTTTTTTTTTTTTTTTTTTTTTTTTTTTTTTTTTTTTTTTTTTTTTTTTTTTTTTTTTTTTTTTTTTTTTTTTTTTTTTTTTTTTTTTTTTTTTTTTTTTTTTTTTTTTTTTTTTTTTTTTTTTTTTTTTTTTTTTTTTTCAGACATTCTGCAGCTAAACGAAAGAAAGAAATCTATTTAATGATATTTTTTACTAAATTGAGGTATTTTATATTTCCGCAGCATGCATAAGGAAAAAATAATGTGCATTAAAAATTTCATGATGTCATCATACTGCTAGAATTAATTTCAGGATTATGCCAGAGAAAATTTCCTGAAATTTGGAATATTATTTACTAATGATAAATAAATTTAGAGGGAAGAAGCAACATTAAATGATATGAATAACATAAAAATAAAGATAATTACTTAAAAATTTAATTAGAATAATCAACGATATTTTAGCGAATATAGTTATATTACATGGTTATCCTAAGATGATTGATTACTATTTTTTATTTTAAAATTTACTTGCAAAAAATGACAAGGTATTTATTAAAAGAAAGAAAAGAAAGATTTTGCGGTAAAATCCTAGTATAACGATACGGCCCCCCTTCGCATGATTTTGAAAATTGTCGCCAAGAACAAAATGACCCGTTTTTACTGCTCATCATCATGTCGCCAAATCCCGCTGTACCATACATGGAGATATTCTAACAACCAAAGAACGTTATGTAAAAATCGGAGGGAAAATTTGCCAAGGAATTGGCGACGGAACCTGGCGGCCAGAATTTCCCTCTCCGCGATTGTGTACAGGAAATTGAGAAACACGTGTTAAGAAGAAACGTTCTTAGACAAAAAGAAAACTACAAAAATCCGTTTTTAAATTATTGCGAAAAATCCAAGAAGAAATGTTTTTATCAAAGAACATTTTTTTTTCTTGGATTTTTCGCAATAATTTTAAAAACGGATTTTCGTAGATTTCCCCCCCCTCAAAATAACTAATCCATGAATTAATTTACTTGCGCCAAAAATATTTTCTCTCCTTTAGAGTTTAAGGAAATTTTAAACGATATTCATTTTATGAACTCTTGATAACGTGACCTTCGAACTTCGACACCGGTTTCGAGCTTTGGCGACAGATATTTCGCGCATGCACAGTTGTTTCCCGCTATGATGGAACGGAGCCACATCTGTTGCAGAGAGGTTTTCCTTCTTTACAATACATATTTTTTGATTCTAACCTTCATGGTACTGTATACTAGGATTAAACCCATTTTATTTTATACGAGAACAGGTACTTTCTTTAGTTCATGCACTGCACATGCAATTCTCGAGGTTACTGGAAACCAAAAGTTGCGGGAAACTTGCTTGCCTTTCTAAAAAGACAATCAAATTGGAGCTGCGAAAATTGGCTCTATGCCAGCTGCCCGAATGACGCTCACGTGATACACAATTCGCCAAAAAAGTGATCTCTTCCGACGTTGGTGCAAAACTCGACTTTTTTGGCGGGATCGTTGTATGAAATTCCCTGACTTTTCCAGATTTTGACTAAAACACTTAAATTACCTGACTTTTTCTCTGAATTTTTTGGTCAATTTCCGAATTCCCTGACTTTTTCTGGTTTTCCGGTTTGTCCAGGTAGCGTGGCTACCCTGGACAACGTGGCATAATGGTTTGGGGCGCTATTGCCTACAATTCCAGGTCACCTCTATTCAGGGCACCATGACAGCCCAACGATAGTTGGATAATGTACTATGTCTTGTGGCAATCCCCTACCTTCAGGGGCTGCCTGATGCAATTTTTCAGCAAGATAACGCCCGACCACACAGTGCTCGCATCTCCCAACATGCTCTGCAAGGTATACAGATGCTTCCCTGGCCACCGTACTCTCCTGACCTGTCACCAATCGAACATGTGTGGGATGTGATTGGACACCGTTTGCAGACTCTTCCCCTGCCTCGTTCAGAAGACGAACTGTGGCAAATGGTTGAAAGGGAATCGAGAGCCATTCCTCAGGACACCATCCGCACTCTTATTGACTCTATGCCTAGACGTGTTTTTTTGTGCATTGCTGTCCGCGGTGGTCCTACATCCTACTGAGCCGATGCTGTTCTCGCTCTGTATTCCGACTATCATTTTGAAATAAAGATCACTTAT